TCTGGCGCACGCAAGTAGCAGCAGCAGCAACAGCAGCAGCGGCAGCAGCAGCAGCTCACGCCTCTTCTTCGAGTGGCTTTTGGTCCTGCAGAGATGTCCTGAGCTTCCGCCATACCTTCTTCCTGCTGCTGTTGCTGATGCTGCTGCTGCGGTGCTTCGTACTCTTCCTGCTGCTCTTCCTCTGGCAGGGGCCCCCACATGTCTGCAAAGTCGGCAGACTCTACCCCGGGGTCTTCTTCTCTTCCTCCTCCTATTTCACCTGCTGCTGCGGAGGCACTTTTCCCTGCTGCTGCAGCTGCTGCTGCACTGGAAGCTGCTGCTGCTGAGGGGAAAGGGGGATGAGGCTCAGGGCCTCCGAACGCCCAGCGTCTCCACGACATTCCGGGAGCATGTGCTTCTCCTGCTGCAGCAAGAAGCCTTTCGTGTGATCCGATTTGCTGCTGCTGCTGCTGCCCCGGTCGAGTACTTCCGGAGCGCAGAGGCGTGGCTACAGCAGCCCAGCAAGCGCTGAACAGGTCGGGGGCCCCCCGCTGCAGCAGCAAACCGGCGCTGTCTCTGTTGGCTCGCACACTGGACTCTGCCTCCTGCAGATGTGTGGCAAAGACGCTTCCTAATCGTTTAAGACGCTGCTGAGATTCTTCCTCCCCTTGTTGCTGTTGCAGCTGCAGTTGCTGCACCAGCAGCAGCAGCGCAGTATACACAAAGACCCAAACATTGCATCAGTGCCATCTGAGTCGTTAAACACTTGCAGCGGATTTAGTGTTTGTTACATGCACAGACGCGTTGATTTGTACATATGGGACCTACCGCTGCTCGCTCCCAAATTGCATCTGCTGCCTCGTCTGCATCTTCCTGCTGCTCTTCCCCGTCATCTTCTCTCTGGGCCTCTGTTGTCCGCACTCTCTTCCTTCTAGAGTCTTGCTGTTGCTGCCGCCCCAAAAGCTGGTGATTATCGGCGTTGTTGCTACTGCTGTTGCGCCGATGGTGCTGCTTCTCGGGCTGCAGCAGACGCCGCAGCAATTGCAGAGCATCCGCAGCCAGCAGCACCCACTGCTGCAGCACCAGCGAAGCGGCACCGCGTACTACAAGGGCTTGCTGCTGTACGGGCAGCGCATCGCTGTTGCTGCTGACACTGTCGTTACTTCCTCCTCGGTCTTCGAGGGGCGCTGCAGGGGGCAGCAAGGCGGAGAGGAGGCTGGGCAGCTGCAGGCGTCGCAGCTCCCTGTCGCTGATGTGCTGCAGAATAGACGACACATCACTGGACTCGCATGTGTGCTGCCTGCATGTTTCTCATTCGCGGTTACACTATAGAAACGCTTCATAGTGGAGACTAAATGCTTCGGCAAGCCGATCACCTTGGAAATACCGGAGTGCCTTCTCCGCGTGTGGGTGTCTCCGTCAGCAATGGAGATCGAGAGGGGGAGGGCCCCTATGGCGAGCAGCTGGCCAAACAAAGCTGCAAAGAGACAGCAAAAAACACTTGGCTAGGGTATGCATCGAGCGCGCATACGCCCGGTCTTGCATAATCGGCATCTGGACGTACACTTGGGATGAGGCCTGGACCCGACAGCGACCAGCGCGTAGCTTTCACCTCCCGCAGTCTCCATTGAATATCTGCGAAGGAATCAACTAATACCGTAATTGGCCTCTCACGTTGTGTTGAGTTGTATGGAGTTCACACAGCTGAACGCACGAAACAAGCATCAAACGGCAAACGATTGAGGAGGTCTTCTTCCCTTTGCGCTCGTACGTTGCCGTCGTCTTTCCCTGTTCTACTGACGGATTCGATGCAGGC